TACCCAAAACTGGAAAGCTAGGATATTTGGAAAGAGTGATTTATGTGCTATAAATAATAGTCAATTCAAGATTTTAAATTCGGTTAAGTTAAGTTACAGAGATAGACGTGAATATTGTTCTTAAAAATAGCGTATATAGTACATATATATACACAGTGGGGTGCAAAATTGAGTCAATAACAGAAATTTTTAAGAAAAATATTTTTTTTGTTAAATAAAGTATAAAAACGTGAAAATAAACTTGACTATCTGATTCTTTATAGTTTTAGGAAACTAAAGCTATTTTTTAACTTTTAAGATTAGATTTCTTCCTGGTTAAAAAAATTAAAAAACAGAACCAATTTTGCACCAGAATTTTTTCATAGTCAGATTTACAAGCTTTATCATACCTTAATATTTCATCCATAAGCCATTTGCTTAGATAATAGCTCTTGGCACACTTTCAAACAGTCTTGAGCAAAAATCAGATCAGTTCCATCTTAAAGACATTTTAAAAGAATAGTTGCCAAATTGTATGTAAGATATGCTCTTCTCTGTAGAAGAAATCGTTTTTCCACATGATCCGGACCCGAAACATACAGCGAAAAACGTAATTAATTAGCTGACTACTCAGGTATTTCCGAGCTTAGATTGGCCTGCACGAAGCCTCAACCTAAACTCCACCGAGAATCTATGGGGTATACTGAACTAAAAATTCTAAACGCATACAAATCTCCTCCTAACTTAGTACTGGAACTACATGCTCGTGTTATAAAATAGTGGAATGAAATACCATCTGATTTCTGCTCAAGACTGTTTGAAAGTGTGCCAAGACATGTTAGAGCTAATATCTAAGCAAATGGAAAAAATATTAAGATATGATAAAGCTTGTAAATCTGATTATGAAAAAATTCCAGTGCAAAATTGATTCTATGTTTTTTAATTTTTTCAGTCAGGAAGAAACCTAATCTTAAAAGTTAAAAATAGCTTCAGTTTCCTGAAACTATAAAGAATCAGATAGTCACGTTTATTTTCATGTTTTTATACTTTATTTAACAGTAAAAAATATTTTTCTTAAAAATTTTAGTCATTGACTCAATTTTGCACCCCACTGTATATATAACAACACATTATATAACATACATTTATTGATATTTGTTGAAGTTTGGTGGACCTTACCTAGTGACAAGGACTACGAAATAATCAATACGTAGTGCAAAAAATTGCTGAGCATAAAGGACCACAGGCGACTTCTACAGAAATGGATCACCTGAAACCTTGGATTAACGACAGAAGTTTGTCCAAAGATAGTGACAGTGATTGCAAAAACATCTCAGGTCAGATGTTAAGTCAGGGTGGCCGAGTGTAGTATCGGTTATTATAATCTGTAATTATATATTTAGTCATGTTTAATTATAACAGATGGTCTGTTTGCTGATCATAGAAATACAAGAAAATATGAGTTTGATGCGAAAAGCACAACATAGGCATGCAGCGTTTTCCTTTTTTGAAAAGAGCCGAGTCGAGCTAGTTGCAAAACGGAGTCGATGAGTGTCATGAGAAAGCGCTGAGAGAGAGCTGTTTGAAAAAGTCAATTATATTGTCTAAAAGAGTTAATTGTGTTGTTTAAAGAGATTATTTGAGTTGCTAATTTGTGTTATTTATCTTGTTTAATTATTTGTTGTTNATATATATATAGTAATAAGAAATAACGTCTAAATCTGCTTGTTATATAAGACGAAGTAATACGGAAAAAGTTAGTATTAATATTAGCGATTTTATGACATCCGCCAATCTTGTATTTAGTATTCTAAAAAGATCGCGGAATTATAAGCAAAAATGAGTTCGAGAAAGTAAATTTGCGTACGACCTCATGGTCTTAAAATCTATTCATAGCTTATCATACTTGTTGATGTGTCTTAGAATAAATAGTACCAGCGGTAAAATGCGAACGATGATTTAAGAGATTATTAATTGAAGAGTTCTTACAAGTATGGGTGTTTCCTGAAAAGTTTTCTTTTTTCTTTTATTTTATTTTTCGTAATGTAACTGTATATATCAAAATATCAGTAAATATTAACTTTTATATATCAATAAATTACCAACTTTTTTTATACATACTATGGGACTGGATGTGTTTCAATCAGTACAATAATTTATGGTCTATTATTATTATTACGCTGATTATATTACACTGGATTTCACACTTTGATTACATAATAATTGACACAATGATTAATCTGTAGTTTATAGGTAGTTTATAATTTATATCTGTAGTATGTAGCGAATACATGTTCTTTCTCTTTCTCTCATATTCTTAAAATTAATTCTTACACGATCATATGTGTTGTTGTCCTGCAGCTCATTGAATCTCAAGCAACTTGATATTAATTTGTATGTTTGTATTTTCTGTAATTTCATGTAGTTTAATAGCTTTAATACTGAAAATATTGACAGTTAATGTAAAAAATTAAATCAGAGGTATTAGAATGCAAGGAATAAAGGAAAGTTTATAACACTACAATGAATGCAAACTTTTTTTCATACGTGTATAACAAATCATCCAAATCTGTGAAAGTGCAACATTGTAAATGTACAAATCTGCTCTAAAAAATTGTAAATTGGTCATTTTGGTAGCCTTAATTTTAACATTGTAACAACATCTAGACAAAGTTGCGCAGTAATCAATTAATTCGTAATCATTTCTGTAATCAATCTATATTTTATTATGATTTGGTAATGTATTATGTAAACGTGTTAATCATGTACGTTATTAAATAAGATTAAATGTTATTACTGGTAACTATTTACAGTTTGACGAGTAGACCTAATAATAGATGAAAAGTAATATACAGCTATTCTATGCTGCATAATGGTATTTATTTTGCTGAATTTATAACAACTTGTTTGCAATTTCGCAATTATATCAGAGAAACTGTAAACATGAGATGTTGGATACCATCTTAAGCTAGAATAGTATTACGGTATGTGTCAAGCAATATAATTCCGGATGGCTCGTATTTGAAGCGGATAGTAACCTTATGGTGAAGTATTATGAGAGATTATTACGTTTCCGATAAAATACCAAAGATTGCAATAAAAGTATATTTTACTGTATATTTTATGAGTGATAGATTCGCGTGGATCGGAATTGTAATCGACTAATATCTGACGACCCTTCACGTATTAGCAACAGCACTAACAGTAATAGGAGAAATAGCAATATAGTATATAATATATAATATATATGTAGCGGCCTAGAGTCCCTCGAATACGAGTTTCGAACACCGACTTGTACAAGCCGCAAGTGGCTGTGCGCCTAGCGTCGATGTTAAGCAGAGTGCGGAACACCGCTAGGATGGGTGACCGTCCAGCCTAGCGAGTCGTTAGAAAAAACAAGCGTCTGGGTTAAGGAGTCGCTGCCATCATCCCCACTGACGAGTCTGAGACGAAACGCTACAATCTTTCATAACCCTACCTTCACAAATCCGACATTCATTCCGAACATCTTTACATCTTTCTTCCTTCCTCACACCAATTGTACATAATTGTAAATACCATAGCTAACCTTCAAACCCTTCAGATGTTTTGTCTGTTCATATACCTAGTCTGTGAATGTAATCCTTGAATTTTCATTGATTTCTTCTTATGTACAAATAAAATTGAAGAGTTATATTTTCTTTATTTGAACTTAAAGCAAAACAATTATTATATTGTGTTATGTCTTTTTTTCTTATCTTACAAATTCTTATATCTTAATATATAAAAATACATGAAGATATTTTCAAAACCATAAATTTACGATAAATCGAAAAAATTATATTTCGAATCAACGTGTACCTAAACATAGTTATAATATAACATTTATATTTCGGGCAATTTTTCTTGGTAACACATATTTCAGGTACCTTTAAATTTTTCTCGCGTATTTAAATAAATAAAAATAAAATAATACACATTGATAGGCATACAAATAGTACATAATAATACATATACATTTTTTAAATACATATACGTTTTCGTTCTCCCAATCTTTCTGAACTGCTAAATTATATTTTTTTTTAATAATTCAACAAGTCAAATTTATTCAATAATTTAGGTAGTCCAATAATTAATTGAACTATTGATAACTATCTCTGATGCTGCAAATATTTCTAAATGTGGGGAGGTATATCTTTTCAGAAGATACCTTATTTTTATTTTTATATCATCTTATTTATTGCTTTTTTTCGTTAATTAATTTTTTTTAATCCTTTTTTATCATTTATACCATTCATTTCATCATTTTCGTTGCATTCTATTACACCGTTTTCTCCTCAATTATGATAAGCTGATAAGATCAATAAAAATAAATTATAAAAAAGAACACCTCAACCTCTGATTCAATGAAAACCCATAGAAAAACCGTTCGTACAAAGTTGACCTTCAACATAATTTTCAAGATCAAACTTTTTTATTATTGCATCGCTTTCCATTTTTTTATAGAGAAAAAAATAAACATTTCACAAAGCATTCATAGAATCACAATTCCTTTCACGTAAACTTTACAAAACTGTGCGACTGAACCAACTAATGTAGTTATAAACAATTTAATTTTATTAAGAACGATAAAACTGGCAAATACAACCTTTCATGGGAGCAATATTCATTAAGGAAGAAATATTCATTTTGACTCGTATATAGATTGTAATAAAATAGAAATTAATAACTTACTGATCTTAAAATTGACCGACTGATTAATGGTTATAAATTACAAAAGTTAATCAAGATTATTGACTTATTTCAATAATGATAAAGTGATTAATGATTATGATAATACGATTACATTTAATAATTAATTACAGAAATGATCAATTAATTACTGTCGGGATATCGATGCAACATTAAAACTAAAATTTCTGGAATAGTTAAAATGATCAATTAATGATTGTTTAAAATATTCTTATAGATTTACAATGTTGTGTTTTCAGAGATTTGAATTATTTTTGTAAAATATATGAATAAAAGTTTGTGCTGTTCATCGTATTATAAACTTTTCAATTGCGTGAATTTTAAATTCTTTGATTTAATTTTTATATTTTAGTGGTCGGTAAAATATAAAATTATAAAAAAAGAGTAGTAAGTCGAAAAACCTAGGCATACTAATTTTGAGAGTATGAGAGAGAGTGTGTGTACACACACACACACGCGCACGTACGCACGCACGCACGCACACACTTGCTACTAGTGGATCGAATAAGAAACACACTGATTATTAACAGATTTAACATTTATAAATTATAAAACATATATAATATTTAATACTCATTGATTCACTCTTGCTTCTCGTCTTTCATGCTACGCGTCTCGGGATCTTTCCAATCACAACTATTTCTCGTCACAATGCTCGCTCTCAATTGTTCTCGCATACATCTCTCATTCATCCTTTCTTCTGCCATGAAATATATCAAACACTCAAATCACACCACACCACAATTATATGCACACTCTCCACACTCATCCTTTCAGTAGATAGTTATAGACCACAAATTGTATTAATAAAAATATATTTTTATTTTCGTTACATTTATCTCACACACGAAACCTTCCAATTCCAGACTATGTAAAAAAAAGTTTATTTATTTATAAAGTCAAGTTTATAGACAAATATGCAATAAAAGAAAAAAGGAAATTTTTCGAGAAACATCTATCTAACAATCCTTCAATTAATAACCTCTTAAACTATCGTTCACATTTTCGTACTCACACCGTGTATACATATGTATGGTATACTGTACTGATTGTGTATGGTATACTGTACTGATAATACCGATGATAGTGTTAATTCTAAAGTTGCAACTTGTTCGTATTATTGGTCTTCTCTGGCTTACTTGTCTTCCTCTTGCTCAAACGCTACTGTTAATAATAGACTTTCTGATTCGGCGTCTGCTTTTGACAGCAGATCAACTAATTCGGCCATAAGAGAGAATGCCTGAGAGATTTTCTCCACTCAACTATAGGTAACTTTAGATTCATGTTTTCTGTCTCCTGTAAAAAAAATTCATGATCAAATCGCTAAACCAACGAGTTTCTTAGAGTACGCTAAAATGCACTAAAATATACAATATGAAATTACTTAAATATATTTAATATTATTAAAATACGCGTCAAAATAAAAGTCACGTAGAACATATAAAAATACACAAACTCGTTTAAAATGAAAGTGTAAAAATACTTAATATATATGTACATAAAAATATCCCGATCCCAATTTTGAATTTATAATCGAATTTGTCGAAAGAGTTTCTTAAAAATGTTCTTACACAATAGCCGTAAACCAAATGTTAAGTAGTCGCATTCATTATCACGCATTTTAGATATAATATATCTCCAGAAAAGTAGAAAAAAGACATTAAAATATTTTTCATACGTTAATGTTAATAATGTATGAAAAAATATAGTTCTGCTTAATTATAATGAACGTCAATACACTCTGACCTTTATTTCTGCATATACGCGTCATGCGATGTTTCATTACTATGTAGAAATATTCTTCTATGATTTTAAAATTTTTAATTTAATACAAAGAATACGCGCATAGAATGTATTAATGCACATACATTATTCAATAAAGTGAAACATTTAGAAGTATATAGTAAAATTCCATTTGAACCAAGTTTCAGTTAGAAATCGTGCTGCTTGAATTTACTAATTTAAACATGATTACCTATTATGAACACTAATTCTATAAACCGAATCTATTCCCCAACAAGTTTATGTATGTGCAAATGAATTCAAGAATGTTACGTAATGAAATAAATACTATTATGTAAAGAAGTAGTCAAACATTAAATTGTAATTAAACTATACGGATTTTTATGCAAATACATATATGTATTATACGAATCTAATTAAACAATATAAATAAACGTCTATCTTAATATCACTAACTATGTTAACATATAACAATTTAATATATATATACATATATATATAGAGCATCGAAGAACAATGCTTCATGTCTCGTAACTAATGCTAAGCGTTAATTCAGTTGTAGCCTAATATATATTTTATTATTAATATAAAGGCAGAAACAGGATTATGTAGAAATAAAAACAAAGTAGCTTTAATCTGATAGAACATAATAATAAACTTCATTGATACGAATCAGTTAATGTAGGCTATCATATATACGAACTTATAATTGATCAACTTCTTTTATCCTTCTGTACTATCTGTTGTATCGCGATATGCGTATGATGAATATGTCACGGTGTGACGGTGTCGAAATGGGAGGAAAGAAAAAACAGCGATAAAATGATTCCCGTTCGTGGAGCAGGAACCGCACTGAAGAGAACACCTTTTAAACTTGCACTAAATTTCCAAAAAAAAAACAAAGAAAAAGACACCTCGAATTATTTTATCCGGATGTCACTTCAACCCTTATTCCTATCCATAGAAAAGGAACGAGTGCGGGACGTAAATAAAAAAATGTGAACCAAATGAAGGACAAAACTAAACTGAAAACTTTATTACGTTTTCCATACAGTTTTTCGGTAAAGTGTGGTAGAAGGGGATTTCCCAGAACAATGTGTCGGGTGACACTTCGTGAGCCCCATACCTCCAGGCGCCAGCCGGACTCAAGTAGTCTGCGTTACAAATACGTAAAAAATACCATTTGCTGTTTGCCGTTTACACGACGATTTTTGCGTGATATGCGATATCGATATTGTATATTCTGAGAATTGCGATACTTCACGATGTCGTTAGCGAGATGTTAAAGCAAACAAATCGTGATATTTACCCGGGAATATATATAAGATGTCTCATAAAAAAGACTTCAGTATTATCAAAATGAAATATTTGAAAAATTATATAAATAATTTAATTTTGCGTTAGTTTATTTGAATAAGAGATTGTTTTTGTCGAAATTATTTTATTATTTCACTATCCAATACAATATTTTATTTTATTTTCTACTTTAAATTTATCTCCACAAATAATATTGTAGAGGATGCGTTCCTCTGTCTTTGGTCCTAATAGCCAAGAGTATTAAATATAATGTGAGAGGTGCATACTCTAGACGCAGTACCGTTAGGCCCATAACGTAATTGCTAAAATTATCAATAATCATAAAATGATCACTTGATCGGGAGAAACACAAAGAGAGTCGATCTATATAAGGGAGTAGAAGTTGATTCATTCGATCATTCCATCATAGAGTTCACATATTGAAATTTTCATGAGAGAGAGAGAGGAGTTCGTTACAATCGGTTGTATTCAGATATATAAAAATTCTTTTTCTTTTATATGTAAGAGTCATACTGGTAGTACGACAAGTCTAGTGAAAATTAAAGGTGAAAACGGATGGGAAATTCGGGAAACATCCAACGGTCAACCGACAGTTTCTGAGCAAACAACGCTCAAGGGCAAAATACATAAGAAATTTCAGATATTCAAATTGGACGGTTAAACCAACAACTGGAAATAACATCAGGAGAAAATCACCCTGTTCAGGAAACCTGAACAAAAAAAAGCAGACCATAAATCAACGTAACTGCAGATAAACCCAATTTATAGACAGGAAAAAGAAAATTAAAGGAGGAGAAAATCAAGATCTTAGCTACCCGTAGACGGTCAACGTCACTCAACACCTGTCACTAAAATCAACAAAATTAAAGGTATGGACACCATAAATCCAGATATCCACACAAAAACAGGTTCAGCATTTTTGCTGACTGTTTAATAACAGAAACAGATAATGAGAAAACCAACACCAAACCACTAACGAAAAACATAATAGAACACGAAAACACTACATCAAATACCAATCTACCAAACGTCAAACACTCAAACACCAAACCTCCACCTATATACATACACGGAAACATTGATCACATCAAGTTATTGAATGCCTTAAAAAATAAATATAAAAGCGCTTTCCAAGTCAAATTTGTCTCGAACAGATTAAAAATAATGTTTAACAACGCAAACGATTTAAATGAATTCAAAACCATATGCAAGAAAGGAAACATAGAATTCTATACCTATAGAATTCTATACCTATGTACAATTAGTTCCAAGGAAACAACCACAGTAATACTAAAAGGATTAATCAAGTAGCTAGAATACTACAAAACATCAAAAGTCAAGGCCTAAAACCCAACTCGTGCATAAAAATGCCGACTCATACAAAATACCTAATTTACTTGGCCTTACATTTGTGCCAGGGACATCCCTAGCCCAGATTAACGACATCAGGTACATCGAGCATGTAAAATATTGGGAAAAATACGAAAGTCCAAAACCTACAGTTCAATGTTTCCGGTGTCAAGCTCACGGCCACACATCCGCAAACTGTAACAAAAAAGCAGTATGCGGAAAGTGCGTTGGAGCTCACGACACAAGAAATTGTACCAAAACTAGAGGAACACCAGCAACATGTACAAATTGCAAAGGGGGCCATTCTGCCGATTTCACCAAATGCTCTGCTCTCCTAGCCTTTTTAAACAAGAAAAATATATTCACTAACAAACCTCAGCTCTCCTTAAAACAATCCCTACCTACACACACCCATTCACACCAACTCCCTATCCTTCCCCCTACCGAAACCTCCTATAACTCCCCCCCCCCCCCCCCCCCCCCCCCTTCAGCCGATACATAAAATCAAACCAGGACTCTCATACTCAAAAGCACTATATCCTCAAAATCCCCCTCAAAATTTTTCAACACACGAACAGCGACCAAACGGCGACTTCACAGATTATATAGAACAAATCCAAACAGCAGATCTATACTTATTCTTAAAAATTATCACCCTCCTCCAAAAACATTACATCAAATGCACAAACCACCTAGATAGAGTCTAGACAACCATTCAACTCGTCAAAAAACTCGAAGATGACCCATAAAAAGCCCTTAAACCTCATTTCATGGAACGCTACCAGCGTAAAAAACAAAATCGCTGAATTCCTAAAATTCTTAAACAAACATAACACCGACATTGCAATAATTACCGAAACTTGGCTTACACCCACAGACAAAATCAGAATTAGAAATTACAATATACACAGAAAAGACGGATCTCTCTCAACTTCTAATAAACCTAGAGGAGGCGTATTAATCGCAATTCACAAAGATATCTCAGTTGAAAACCTATCTCTTCAAACATAGATATAATGAGAGTAAAACTCAAGATCACACCCCCACTCACGATTGGCGCCTCATACGCCCCTCGCAGAACCAAAATAACACCAATAGACCTAGATGACATCATCCCCCTCATGAAACAGGGCATTTCATCATTGGGACGGTTTTAATGCAAAGCACTGTGGAACAACCTCAATAAAAACACAAATGGATCAACAATCAAAAACCATTTAGATCTAAGAAATTACATAGCCTGACGTACACACACAAACAATCACACTGTACACCAACAAATATAGACATTTTCCTCGCAGACGTACCTTACTCTTCCAACTGTCAAATCATCGACGATTTACCTTCAAACCACCTACCCGTAAAATTAACAATTTAACCGCATAGGACAGTTACAATAACCAAATCGACAGAACACACAGATTGGAAGAAGTACACCAAGTTCTGCAACAACTTCAAAATAAACTCACACAAATGGAGACAAATTCTATGTCAAAATAAATTCACACTTATGGAGACAAATTCTATGTCTCCATAAATGGAACAAAATCTACCCACAAAGAAATAGCAGCTGAGATTCCTCAACGATCCATCCTAGGATCCCTATTCTTCATAATTTACATAAATGATCTGCCACAAACAACTCATACTCACACAGTTATATTTGCAGATAACACAGCAATTTACCTATCATCTTGGAGTCCTACAGAAGCTACTACATATTTACAGAATCATATAGACCTATCACAAAACTATTTCACAGAGTGGAAACTAAAAATCAACCCCACCATAACACAAGCTATCACTTTTACATAAAAAAAAATCTAACGCTTAAAACTAAAATTTCCGACCAAGACATTCCTTGGACTCACGCTGTCAAATACCTCGGAGTCACTCTCGACTCCAAAATCACGTGGGCAGCCATAACCAAAAGAGCAAATCTAACTTATCCAGCACTGCATAGACTCATTCCTTTAATATCATTCTTTTAATATTAATATAAAACAGCAAACTAAAAATAAACTTAAAACTCAACCTATACAAAATTTGCGTTAGACCTATAATTATATACGGACATCAAATTTGCGCATCTGCCGCAAATACACATATTAATAAGATCCAAAAGTATTCAAAACAAGTTCCTGGGCATCATCCTTTTAACAAACCGTACGATACCCCCATCAAAACATTACACAAAATAGCTAACATTCCAACCATCAAAGAATACATTCAGAACTAACTCATCAAGTCGTACAACAACAGTCCAAATCCACTCATAAGAAACACTAGGAACTACGAAATCACAAACATTTCTCTTAAAATCAAGATAAAACTTCCAAAGCACGTAATAATGTAATAGAAAAACTTAACATCAACACTGTACATCACGATCGCACTCAAGTATAGTAGGTTTTTTGCAACTTTTTCCTGCAACCCATATATACAAGCAATTACATATAAAAAACCCAACTAGAGATTATTAATTCCAAATTCTCTAATTTAAATGCAGGTTATAGGGAAACTGCACCCCAGGGACTGCAGCAAAAATAATCAGTCAAGAAAAGAAAAAAAAAGCTGCGTGGAGAGCGTACATCGGCATTCATACGACTCCACAGTCAACAGTGAATCATAGCAAGCCATCATAGCTATTAGCATCACACGAAGTAGTCATATTCGTTCGTTTGCATCGACAGTATTTGTTAATATCCGAGCGAAGGTCAAGTTCAGTGTTTTTGCATTGAAAAATTCAAATTTATTACTGGAAGTCCCGCTAG